GAGTTCCTTCTCCCACCATGAGGAGAAACAACCAAGAGAAGTCCCCCTCTGACTTCAAGGTCGAAATGCCAACCTTTGATGGAAAAGATGACCCGGATGATTTCATCGAATGGTTAGAGACGATTGAACGCGTCTTTGACTATACCGAAGTGCCGGAGGACAAGAAGGTCAAGCTTGTGGCCTTAAAATTCAGAGGCTACGCATCTACGTGGTGGACTAACACTACCACCAAGCGCAAAAGAGAAGGCAAAGCTGCTGTTCAAACATGGACCAAGATGAGGGCTTTATTGAAGAAGAAGTTCATTCCCACTCATTATATAAGGGAAAACTTTGCTAGGCTTCAACACCTAAGGCAAGGAAATCGGTCCGTAGAAGAATACAATCGAGAGTTTGAAGAACTCTTGATGCGGTGTGATCTCCAAGAGAATGACTCACAAACCTTTGTGAGATATCTCTTTGGCCTAAACACCCAAATCACTGACACAGTGGAGCTGCAAACCTTTGAGAACCTTGAAGAGCTAACCAAGTTAGCACTTAAGGTGGAAGCCCAACTCAAGAAGGGCAAATCTTCTTTGAGCCGTGGCAATTCTTCCTACCCTAGTACATCAAATTCCAGCCCCCTCAGTTGGTTCCACCTCATGTACAACTATGCTAGTGGGGACTTGGCTAGGAAGAGATTCAGGTAACATCACCACAGTAGCCCTAGCGAGAGTTGTTATGCTCTCGGGTTTCTGTGATGGGGCGGAATTAGTTGAATCTTTTAGAACCGGGACCTGTTGGTTGATGGGTTCAGGGTTGGTCTTGGGTTCTAGAGCCTCTTTTTGAACATTAATCTTCCTCATTTGATCTTGAGATTGGAGGGAGCGTTTAAGTTCAACAGCCTTACAAAGATCATTGACTAGTTTATCAGCTTTAGCTTCGGCTTCTAGTCTCTCTCTTTGGAAGTCATCTAGCATTTTCTGCATCATATCTGATCCTTCGCATAATCTCCTTTCGAACTCCTTTTCCTTCCGGACTGATTCAAGAAGTTTTGCTCTTTCTCGAATCGCCACCTTGTTTGCTTCAATTTGTTCTTCCGCAAACAAGGTGTAGTCACGGGAGTATGGTGGTTCGTACCACGAGCCTTCACGAATAAAAGTTCGTCGAAATAGAAGATTTTCTATTCTAATCTTAGGATTTCTTCGACGAGTGGATCAGGTTGATCGTCGCACATAGGCCCAAATTGGTCATAGTCATATTGGTCACCATGAGGTTCATAATAATTATCCCCATTAGAATCTTGGTATGGAGAATATCCAAAGTTTCTAGACGGGGTATCATATGGTGGTTCTTCATGGTAGGGATAGTAGTCAGACCCATTGTTGACTTGGTAGTCAACATCATATGGGTTCTGATGCGGGTGATAGGTTTGGTGGGTTTGGTACGGAGGGCGGTTGGGTGATTGGTAGTAAGAAGGCGGGCCGTAATAACCACTGGAGTTGTCCATAATAATTATTACGGGTGGTTGGTGAAAAAGAAGTGAGAAGATCGTTCTAACCAATCTTCACCCAAGCTAATTAGAAGAAATTAAACTAATGCTGTGCCACTCCCCGGCAACGGCGCCATTTGACAGTTGAAGTTTTTTGGGTAGTAAACCTTCCGAGTAAAGGGTTAGTTTTCTCTCCGAGTGTCGTGTCTCTCGAGGAGTGGACGAAGGGAATTAGTTTAATTACTCTAATTAGGCGAAGATTAGGATTGGTTTATGAAAGTCTTCTCGAAACGATTATAAAAGGAGCAGGGTAAAAATAATAAATTAAGTTTACATAGTATAAGTATAGATCTGGATCTAATGTCTGGACATCATTTGGATTTATTTTATCATATTAAATTAACAATTGGAATAATAATATTTTTATTACTACTCATCCATTTCTAGATTTGTACTTAATCCGTTGTACTTGAATATCATAGCCTTTTGGCATACAATATTTTCTCAATAAATGGCCAATTAAATCTTTCGAGTTTAATTAACCAAATAAGGAAAGAACAATAGATTAACCATTCCAACATTAATTTAACATCAAAAATAAACAACCAAACTAGTCCGGACCCAGAGATCCGGACCCTAACTCATACTATGCAAACATAAATTAAAACAGCATTTTATTAAATAAAGAAAACTTACAACTTCCGTAAAAGTGGAACAGAACAGATCGGGAGTCAAATCCTCCGGAAAATACTTTAAAACAATAACTAATCTAATATACAATGAAATATTGAGCAAATTGAAGGGGAAACCCGAAATGGGTTGTGAGATGGTGAATGGAATGGTGGAGATCGCGCTGCTTTTATAGGGCAGGAAGTACAGGCGTCCAACTCCTTGGGCGTCCAACCTTGGACGCCCAGGACCCTAATCCAGCGCCCATTTTGCTTCCAATTGCGGTTTCTCGTGATTTTGGGCCCAAAGTTGTTCCGTATCAGCCCAATTGGCTCCCAGACACTAATTTCTACCTCCAAAGTATTATGATCTTTAAAATCTAAAACTTTTTATCCAATTTGTACATAAAATTAACAAATCCACACTACGTCAAAAACAGATGCTGAGAACTGTTCTTTTTAGTAGTCTAACTGTGTTAGTTTCAGTAGTCTTCCGAGCAGCTGTATGATATATTTACAGACTACTGTTTAAAAACAATTGTGTAATACGGTTGGCAACACCTATTTTGTGATGTTTCAGAGTACATGTTCTTGAAGTTGTCCTCGCATGAGTAAGACATCTGTTTTCTGAAGTTAAAGACAACTGTGATGTTTTGTTGTCTATCTATAATGAATATAACTGTTGTTTTCGACTTCAGACTCCTATTGCGTGGTGTTGTTGTTCAACACTATAGACATCTTATTTCAAAAGTAGTTGAAAGATATATCAGACTGCTGCTTGGAAGACTACTAAACAAAAATAGCATTAGACAACTGTTATCTTGTGTTATATTTCTAAAATGTAGACTACTATTTTTTTTGTATTTTAAACAATTGTTTCTTTCACTTGTATAGTGCTCAATAACACTACGCTTTTTTGTAGTTGTCCTTGAAATATTCAAACTATCTTTTTACACAGTAGTCAGATTGTAAATCAGACTAGTGCTCCGAAGACAACTAAGTATGTTTGCATAAGACAACTGTTATTCTGTGTTATATTTGTAAAATGTAAACAACTATCTTTGTTGTATTTCAAACAACTGTTTATTTCTATTGTCTAATGTTTATGAACAGTATAGGTTTGTGTAGTTGTCCTTTAAAAATTTAGAAAACTGTTTTAATACATTGTAAAGCTGTTTGAAAGACTACGAAATTTCAATTTGCATTTATATTTAATAAATAAAATTTATTTCAATTCCAAAAATAAATTCTAAAATGTAGAATATATTGAATAATATCTAAATACATACAATCTAAGTCTAAATAGCATCCAATAATTTAATATTTACATAATTAAGATCACACTCTAAATATCCATTCAGCATGCCTAATTTAGTTATTTGTCCCCTCAATAACATTTTTGAATACATCTCTTGCTCTAGCAACATTTTCTTGTAAAGCATCCACTTTAGTCATCAATCTGCATACCATTAAATAATTAATATTTGTTGATAAGAAGAAAGAGTTCATAACAAAAATACTTGAAACTTTTTGGAGTTATTTGCTACATAATACCTCCAAAGTAGTTCATATGCATCTATTTAACAATTGAAGTTCATAATTCAGCTTAGGAATCAAGCAAAGCTGCAGATTTTTCTAAATAAAAAATAATTCAGTTTAGATTTTAGTCAAAATCAACACTTAAAATTCAAAAATCAATATATAAACACAATGTCATGCTTCTACCTATGGTCTATAAGCAGGATGTATCAATGATAGTCAAAATCAACACTTGTGCTTGGATTGGTGTGGGAGAAGTGAATCCAGCAAAACAAAGCTACAGGAAAATTATAAACATAATCCATACCAACAAAACATAATGTGGAGAACACTCTTGGACGTGCATGGATAATATTAGAAATACAAGCCTGAGATTTCAAAAATGGATCCAAACATTGAGAACGATTAAATAATAATAATAAACTAAATTGAAAAATGAACAAGGATCCAAAATAAGGTTTGAAGTAATGCAGCTGCTTATAGAAGCAACTTAAGGCAACAAAATAGAGCAATTAAAATAGAGGATGCAGAGCCAATAAGCTAGAAATTCCAGTCACATATATTGTTATTTGGATGAAGGGCCAACTAACCTTCAAGAAGCTATGCATGAGGCTTCAACTATCCACTTTGCAGCCTCAAAAAACTCAATATACTGGTTGTGGAAGTGTATGAGCATTTCATAGCAATACAACGTACGACATGTGCTCCTCCTCCGGAGCAGATATCGCATCGCACCTGCGACAAGTGACAGCTGTTAAGCTTAATGCATCTATAAAATATAAATATTACACAGATCCAGAAAGAGTTAAAGAGTTACTCTAGCACAGTAGGTCTCGTCTGTAGGTCCAATGTCAAGGATAGTACACTTACATCTCTGAGTATTTTTGGAGGAAAACCAGTAGCCTCAAATGTGATGAACGGATCCGTAACGTATTCACCCTAGATAACAGAATAGTAGGGAATCAATGTTAATTGGAAAAATAAACTGAATCCAAAAGGAGGATGAATCGTAGACTTCAAGATATGAAAGCAACGTGACTTTAAGTACACGGATCACTATCTGTAATAGCTTTGAAGTTTAAATATAGCAAGATCCAAGTATGTGCAAAATCATGTTTTTCTCATAACATGCTAATATTGCAAACTAAACACAAGTAATAAAGTGCATGAAGGTGAAATGATAAAATGATGTGGGGAGATCAAAATAAATATCACACTGGAAATAAGGTTTGAGCATTACAATTCTATGAGAATGAGGTGCATTTACAAGGCCTCATGGCCGAAATATATAATGCAAAACAAGGGAAAAGGTTCCTTGATGTTTTTATCCCTATCCTTGGTAAATGGAGTTGTGTTTATGGATATTTGGAGTGGGAAATTCGGCCATATGCTGAAGGGAATGAAGGGGATTGGTTTTTGAACAACAAGACAAAATAAGCACTATTCAATCAAGGAAAACTTTTTCCTGATTTTGTTTTTGTTTTGTGAATTGAATTTTGTCTTGATCAAATCATAATGTGGCCTGATTTTTGGGTAAAAGACTTGGGAAATTCGTGGGTTTGATGTAGGGAAGTGAAAGGAAGGTTTTATTTTAATTAAAGGGAACAAAAGAAGTAAAAACATTACACAAGGTTTGTCCTTCTGACCTCATTTTTGTTCAGGGCTAAAAAGGAGAGAAAAGACTTTATTTTGTTCATTAAATGAAGATAAAAGACTTTGGATATTTTGGGAAGGATATGGAACGGTTTGATATCAAGAAAGGCTTTGGAGGAGAAAGGTTTTGGTTTGGGTTTTAGGGTACGAAAGGTTAATGAGTTTAGCCCAAAAAGGATCATAACACTTAGATATTAACCCTTTGATTTGTTTTATGGTTTGTGGTGTAACCTCCGTGCTTGTAGGAGCATCCCGGGGTACATCATCCTCCCCTTCTTCAGGAGAGTTTGACCTCAAACTCGGAATATATTCGGGTTTAAAGTACGGGCTGAGATCCGTGACATTGAACGTGGCTGAAACTCCATAGTCTTCGGGCAGGTCTATCTTGTATGCATTGTCGTTGACCTTAGCTAAAACTTCGAACGGACCATCTCCTTGGGGAAGAAGCTTGGACTTGCGTTTTGAGGGAAAACGCTTTTTTCTAAGGTGGATCCACACAAGATCTTCGGGCTGGAAATCCATTTTCTTGCGTCCCTTGTTGATCTTTTCACTGACACGCTCATTCATCTTTTCTATTTTTGCTCGGACCTTGTTGTGAATAGCTTGTATCTCCTGAGCTCGTTTCTCTGCTTCCCATTTGTACTTTGTATCTGTTAAGATTTGATTAAGATCAAGTGGGGTAAGAGGATTAACACCATGAACACTAACAAATGGTGACACGCCTGTTGTTTTGCTTGGGCGGCGGTTGTAAGCAAATTCGGCATGAGGAAGTAATTCCTCCCACTGTTTGATGTTCTTCTTGATGATGGCACGAAGGATGGAACCAAGTGTTTGGTTTGTTACTTCCGTCTGGCCATCGATTTGTGGGTGGCTTGATGTACTAATTTTGAGTTTAGTACCCATCTTTCTCCACAAAGTCATCCAAAAAGGACTTAAGAATTTGCTGTCTCGATCGGAAACCATACTTCGGGAATGCCATGAAGTTTGACAATATCCCTAAAGTACAAATCTGCAATTTGTGAAGCATCATGAGTTGTTAGGCACGGAACAAAGTGTGCCATCTTTGAAAATCGGTCAACCACCACCATGATTGAATCCTTTCCTCACTGCGTTCGTGGCAAACCGGTGATGAAATCTAGACTCGCGTCTTCCCAGGGAGCTTGTGGGACGGGCAGCGGCTGATAAGTTCATTTTGTTCTTATTTTATTCTACATATTTTAAGAGTTATTGCACGAAAGTAGTAATAAATCTACCCATTGAAAGTGTCTACTAGTAACAAAACTTATGTTTTGTCTCAAGAAGAATAAAATATGGGTTCCAAATTAAATTAAGTGGATTTGTCAATTTTATGTACAAATTGGATAAAAAGTTTCAGATTTTAAAGTTCATAATACTTTGGAGGTAGATATCAGTGCTCGGGAGCCAATTGAGCCAATACGGAACAACTTCGGGCCCAAAATCACGACAAACTGCAATTAGAAGCAAAATGGGCGCTGGATTCGGTTCCTGGGCGTCCAAAGTTGGACGCTTTGGATAGTTGGACGCCCAAGCAAGGGTGGTGACACAGAAATGACACGCGGCGCAGCAGGAGTGGACGGAACACGTGGTTAGGGGACGGGCGTCCAAAGTTGGACGCCCAGAAAGTTGGACGCCCGCGGTTTGCTGCCCTATAAATACCACGCGATCTCCACCATTCCAATCACCATCTCACAACCCATTTCGGGGTTTTCCCTTCAATTTGCTCAATATTTCATTGTATATTAGTTTAGTTATTTTTTTTAAGTATTCTCCGGAAGATTTGACTCCCGATCTGTTCTGTTCCGCTTTTACGGAAGTAGTAAGTTTTCTTTATTTAATAAAATGTTGTTTTAATTTATGTTTGCATAGTATGAGTTAGGGTCCGGATCTCTTTGTCCGGACTAGTTCGGTTGTTTATTTTTTATGTTAAATTAATGTTGGAATGGTTAATCTATTGTTCTTGCCTTATTTAGTTAATTAATGTCGGAAGATTTAATTAGATATTTATTGAGAAAATATTGTATGCCAAAAGGCTATGATATTCAAGTGCAACAGATTAAGTACAAATCTAGAAATGGATGAGTAGTAATAGAAATATTATTATTCCAACTGTTAATTTAATATGATAAAATAGATCCAAATAATGTCTAGACCCTAGGTCCAGATCTATACTTATACTATGTAAACTTAATTTATTATTTTTACTCTGTTCCTTTTATAATCGTTTCGAGAAGACTTTCATAAACCAATCATAATCTTCGCCTAATTAGAGTAATTAAACTAATCCCCTTCGTCCACTCCTCGAGAGATACGACACTCGGAGAGAAAACTAACCCTTTACTGGGAAGGTTTACTACCCGAAAAACTACAACTGCAGCGGCATATGCATTCCTTGTGTGGCTTTGGAGTGGCTTTTGGCGAGTTGACAAGTAGTACAACGCCGAATAAAATGCTTGGTGTCTCTTTCCATCTTTGGCCAGTAATAATGCTCTTGAAGCATCATATAAGTTTTATCCATCGCGAAACGACCAGCCAAAGAACCGCCATGAACTTCCTCGATTATTGTTTCGCGCAAACTACATTTCGGGATACATAGTTGGTTGCCACGAAACAGAAAACCGTCTTTTATGAGGAAGTTACCAGAGACCCGTGTGAGGCACTTATGGTATGCCTCCTTGAAGTCTTCATCCTCCTTGTATAGATCCTGCAAAGACACAAAACCAACAAGTTTGGTACTAAGTATCGTTAGTAATAAATGTCGCCGGGATAAGGCATCAGCGCCTTTGTTTAGGGTCCCGCTCTTGTGTTTTATGGAGAAGGTGAAGGTTTGGATGAATTCGACCCATTTGGCATGACGGGGTCGGAGTTTATGTTGCCCTTGGATGTACTTCAGCGCTTCATTTGATTAGCAAGGAGTTTATACTCCATTCGGATCATGAAGCGCTGAAGTACATCCAAGGGCAACATAAACTCCGACCCCGTCCAACTTTTCGGGTCATAAACTCCGACCCCGACACCAAGGTCACATTCACTCTGATGGGTTGACTGCTGAGCCTTACCGTGGTAGACTTAGGGTGGCTAATCGGTCTTTACACACTTCTGCTGAGCCTTACCGTGCCACCCTAAGTCTGCCACGGTAAGGCTCAGTAGTCGACCCATCAGAGTGAATGTGACCTTGGTGGTGGAGGTGACTTCAGCTGTTGACTTTACTTCCTCTCTGTCATTGTGGAAGCGGAGAGAGCAAAGAAACTCGATGGTGACTTCCAGGCTTGCTGGTGCTTGCAGGAACAGCAGGATCCTCCATTTTGGGTTGTACAGAAACTCATCAATGTCCTGCCAGTGTCCTAGCTCATCCAGATAGGCAGGGTCTAGCACCATGGGAGGCTGGAGCATCTTCGTGTTCCCCCAAGTGAGAAACTTCTTCCTTGCTTCTTCTGAGTGCAAGGGGAGCTCTTCCAGGTTCTGTAATGTGCGGCGGTTTCCATGCGGAATCATCCAAGCAACATCCATCTGTAGAATAGAAAAGTAAAACGAGTAAAATCTTTCCCCCTACTGGTGCGGCAAGTAAAATATGAATAAGCATAATTTAATTATCTGAATGACGGGTTGCCTCCCGTTTAAGCGTTTCTTTAACGTCCGTAGCTCGACGCTCACCCACTTTTTTCGCGACTTCCCGATCCGAGAGTCATAAAGTTTGGCCCTTCTGACTCTCTTCTGGTGCCACCTTGTTTGATTTGTTGCTCGGTCAAGGTCCAGGATCCTTGACTCGTCCCTGCGGCTTGGCGGCAACAGGATAAAAGGAGGAGACTCTTGATAGGTGGGTGGGGGCGGAAGTCTCCTCAATTGATCCACATCATTGGCCTTCATAGCGAGATTGATTTCTTCCTGGTCTTTAATTGGCTGACTATCCGTTTGTGGTTTGATGATTATGATTGTACCCTCCCCCAAGGAAGAGTCCTCATCGTTACTCACCAGAAGTTCATCCCAACTCTTTAAGTTCCAACCATCCTTCGGGCAGACATAGCCATACCCATCAAGTAGGGAGTCAAAGAAAGTATGGTCTGAATCATCAGATGAATCATTGGTTGCATAGGTTTCTATAGATGGAGTTGGCTTTTCTTCATCTATAGGTTCCTCCTTAGACTCGTGGACATTGGAATCTTGGGGGCTTGTAGTGGGCTCTATCTCCTCTAGAACAGGTTCCTCTGGAGGTGTGTCTTTAACACAATTAAGGAGATGGTCGTTTATTGCCGTAGGCAAAACTTCCTCCTCCTTTTCTTGAATGAGCGTAGGTGGTTCTGAGTCAGGTCCCTCAGTTGGTTCCACCTCCTGTACGACTATGCTTGTTAGGACTTGGCTAGGAGGGTATTCAGGTAACATCACCACAGTAGCCCCAGCAAGAGTTGTTATGCTCTCGGGCTTCTGTGAGGGTGTAGAACTTGGTGATTCTTCTAGAACTGGCACCTGTTGGTTGATGGGTTCAGGGTTGGTCTTAGGTTCTAGAGCCTCTTTTTGAACATTAATCTCCCTCATTTGATCTTGAGATTGGAGGGAGCATTTAAGTTCAACAGCCATACAGACATCATTGACTAATTTATCGGCTTTAGACTCAGCTTCTAGTCTCTCTCTTTGAAAGTCGTCCAGCATTTTCTGCATCATTTCTGATCCTTCGCATAATCTCCTCTCAAACTCCTTTTCCTACCGGATTGACTCAAGAAGTTTTGCTCTTTCTCGAATTGCCACCTTGTTTGCTTCAATTTGCTCTTCAGCAAACAAAGTGTAGTCACGGGAGTAAGGTGGTTCGTACCAAGAGCCTTCAGCGAATAAAAGTTCGTCGAAATAGAAGATTTTCTATTCTAATCTTATTATTTCCTCGACGAGTGGATCAGGTTGATTGTCATACATAGGCCCAGATTGGTCATAGTCATCTTCATATCAATGAGGTTCATAATAATTATCCCCATCAGAATTTTGGTATGGAAAATATCCAAAGTTCTTAGACGGGGTTTCATATGGTGTTTCCTCATGGTAGGGATAGTAGTCAGATCTATTGTTGACTTGGTAAGTATTATCATATGGGTACTGATGTGGGTGATAAGGTGGATAGGTTTGAAACGGAGGGCGGTTGGGTGATTGGTAGAAAGAAGGCGGACCGTAATAACCACCAGGGTTATCCATAATAATTATTACGGGTGGTTGGTGAAAGGAAGTGAGAAGATCGTTCTAACTAATCTTCACCCAAGCTAATTAAAAGAAATTAAACTAATGTCGTGCCACTCCCCGGCAACGGCGCCATTTGACAGTCGTAGTTTTTCGGGTAGTAAACCTTCCCAACAAAGGCTTAGTTTTCTCTCCGAGTGTCGTATCTCTCGAGGAGTGGACGAAGGGAATTAGTGTAATTACTCTAATTAGGCGAAGATTAGGATTGGTTTATGAAAGTCTTCTCGGAACGATTATAAAAAAGGCAGAGTAGAAATAATAAATAAATTAAGTTTACATAGTATAAGTATAAATCTGGACCTAGGGTCTGGACATCATTTGGATTCATTTTATCATATTAAATTAACAATTGGAATAATAATATTTCTATTACTACTCATCCATTTCTAGATTTGTACTTAATCCGTTGTACTTGAATATCATAGCCTTTTGGCATACGATATTTTCTCAATAAATAGCTAATTAAATCTTCCGACATTAATTAACCAAATAAGGCAAGAACAATAGATTAACCATTCCAACATTAATTTAACATCAAAAGTAAACAACCAAACTAGTCCGGACCCAGAGATCCGGACACTAACTCATACTATGCAAACATAAATTAAAACAACATTTTATTAAGTAAAGAGAACTTACAACTTCCGTACAAGCGGAATTGAACAGATCGGGAGTAGAATTCCTCCAAAAATTATTTTAAAACTACTAAAATACTAAACTAATACTCGGAATTGGAATATAAGGCTCAATTCCCGAAAATGGGAGTGAAAGTGATGTGTTGAATGGGGAGAATCGCGCTGTATTTATAGGAACGAAGCCAAGGCGTCCAAGTCAAAGCGTCCAAGTCCAAGCGTCCAGATCGGGACGCTTGAGCTGCTCCGGCCAACCAGATTTTGCCACGTGTCTTTCTTAGATTGCAATCTAGCCCAGGCGTCCAACTTCAAGCGTCCAACTTGGCCAAGCGTCCAAGTTGGACGCCAGGAGGCCTTGGTCCGTTGGGCTTCGCGGCTGTTTCGTGATTTTGGCCCAATTTCGCTCCGTTTTGGCCCCGAACACTATTTTTGACCTCCCGGAAGCTCATTCAAGTCCGAATCTTGATCCCTTGATGATTTATTCCTTTTTTCTCAAATACTTGAACAAAAATGAATGATTTATGATGATTTCATGTGGAATCCCATTTTATGACTCTTAGAACGAAAATGAGAGTTTTATCCATTAAAATCACATTTTATGAGATGATTAAATACTATTTACGTGCAATAACGTTTAGAATATGATGTAAATGATAAGAATGAAATGGACTTATCACCCTCACTATCGAGGAAAGCATACTCAAGGTGTGATGGTAAGGGTTTAAGTTCTAAGGATGTGATTTCGTTTGTGGGTTCAGATCGCGTCTTGATATCGCACACCTCCTCACACTTAGGTTCTTGAAAAGCAATTTCTAGGCTTAGGAGATCTTCTACAGACCCTTTATCTTTTATGACTTTTACTGAGTTGCAGAACTCAGCTGGGTCTGGAGTTCGATTCATGACGTTCATCATTTTAAAAGTGACATCTTCATTGCCTACTCTTAGAGTTAATTCTCCGTCGTGCACATTAATTAATGCCTTTTCGGTCGCAAGGAATGGTCGCCCTAGTAATAGCGGCTTTTCCTTATCTTCTTCCATATCCAATACCACAAAATTAGCAGGAAAGATGAACTTATTTACCTTCACAAGTACGTCTTCAATCACCCCCCTGGGGTAACGAATGGAGCTATCTGCCAATTGAAGACACATTTGAGTGGGTTTAAGTCCAGTCAGTCCCAACGCCTTCATGATAGAGGACGGCATTAAATTAATGCTAGCTCCTAGGTCAGCTAGAGCGTCTCCAAAGGTTCTATCGTTGATGGAGCAAGGGATGATGAAACATCCAGGATCCTTTCGTTTTCTAGGCATTTCCTCAAGTAACATAGCAGAGCATTCAGCATTTAAGCTAACAACTGGGAATTCCTCCCAGTCCCTCTTCTTAGTTACGAGGTCCTTTAAGAACTTACCATATTTGGGCATTTCAGTTAGCACATCTACCAAAGGCATTTTGACCTCAACTTGGCCAATAACATCGAGGAACTTTTGGAAAGCCTTCTCGTCCTTGTTCTTTTTCACCCTAGTAGGGAAGGGAATAGTGTTCAGCTGAGTTTGCCTGGTTGGTTGGGGTTGGCCAGAGGAGGTTTCCTCCTTCCTCGCCTCTTGAGGTACAGAATCAGACTTCTTTTGAGGGGTTGTCCCTGTAGAGGTTTCCACAGGTACTTCATCTATATTGGCTTCGACTTCTGGGCCTTGAAGCTCTTTACCACTTCTCAAGGTTATGGCCCGAAGTTGCTCCCTTGGGTTTGGTTCGGTGGTAGCTGGGAGGTTCCCCTGTTCTCTAACTCCGAGTTGTTTGAACACTTGTTGGAGCGGGTTATCGCGTGTCTTGTCACGTTCCTTCAAATCATCTGCCAGATTGTTCATCTTCTGCATGTATTCCATCATCATCTTCTCCATCCTTGCCAAGGAATCTTCTTGCGGAGGTTGGCGATTATGAGGTGGAACGTAGGGCGCATTGTTATTTTGGTAATTGGTTTTATTGTTATTCCAGTTACCTTGTTTATAGTCATCCCTAGGACGATTGTTTCTTGAAAAATTGTTCCTTTCTCGCCAGTGCTCCTGATTGCTTTGGGCCCAAGGCCCTTCCCCTTTATTCGCGTATTGTGCTAGATTAACGTCCTTAGCCTTGCTTGAAGGGGATGGTTCAATCAAAGGACAAGAGGAAGAAAGATGATTTTGAAAGCAGTGTTCACAAGACAAGACAAGATCAGATTGGTGGTGACTACCAGAACCATAGAGTTCAGCTTGGTTCACCGGTTCAGTGTACTGATTGGGACGTGGATGGGAAGCTCCTAGGTGCTCCTTGATAGTTTGTTTCACGATGCTCTCCATACTAGCCTTGAGAGCTGTGAATTGGTCTACTTCATACATGCCAGCTTTAGGAGGAGGAGCTCGGTCTTCGTACCAATATTTAGCATTCGACGTAAGTCTATCTACTAACTCCTCATTCTCCTCAGGTGTCATCTCCAGAAAAGAACCAAGTTTAGAAGAGTGGTCCAATTCCTTCTTAGATGGTACCGTTAAGCCTTGGTAAAAGTAGAACATCAAACTATCGGAATCAATTAAAGCAGGTGGGCATTTAACCTTCAACTCCTTGAATCTTTCCCAAGCTTCGCTCATTGATTCCATAGGCGCTTGACGGAAGTTTTGGATGGAGTTCTTTATTTTTACCATGGCGGAGGGTGGAAAATATTCGTGCATGAATGCCTGGTGCAACGCCTCCCAAGTTTTGAAGTGGCCATTAGGAAATGTGTTTAACCATCTAGCGGCCCGATCCCGAAGGGAAAAGGGAAAGAGCGACAGTTTAACATGATCCATAGATAAACCGTTGGACTGGAATGTTTGGCAGGTCCTTGAAAACCATAACATGTGCGCCCTTGGATCTTCAGTTTTTGAGCCTCCAAATTGGTTATTCGAGACCATTTGGATCATTGCTGGTTTGATTTCAAACGAATGGGCTTGACTAGCGGGGAGACCTATGGGATCTTCCTCCACATACGCCGGGCTCATGGCTTGAAGGATCGTTCGTCTAGGATTAGCCGCCATTTCTTCTTCCTCTTCCGCTTCCTCCTCTGAGTGTTGGTGACTTGCTTCCTCTTCTTCTTCTCCTCTTCGCTCTTCGTCGTTGAACTCCAGTTGACGGGGGATTCTAACGGTGTGACGCCGGAGAAAAAGTTCGGGGTTTTTGGTTCCCGGAAGAATGTTCTCACCGCGAGAACGAGTGTCCATACAACTTTGAAGGCTAGAAGAAGAATCCTAAACAACTACCTAATGATAACAAAACAGAGAGAAATAATTTTGAAGGCTAGAAGAAGAATTCTTTAACTTTGTTTAAGAAAATAAGAATTTAATAAGTAAATATAATACTATATAAATACCCAAAAAAAAATTTTATTTATTATTTTTATTATTATTATATATATATAATATATATATATATATATATATATATATATATATATATATATATATATATATATATATATATATATATATATATATATATATATATATATATATATATATATGGGATTGACTCCAGTGAGATGACGCCTTATGGTAAGATGACATGCTTCAATCAGATGACAGAACACACAACACTGCCAATGGAAAGCTCACCAACTGCCAATGCAAAGCTCACCTACTGCCAATGCAAAGCTCACCAACTGTCAATGCAAAGCTCACCACTTTTTTTTTGAAATAAAAAAAGTTAAAAAATAGCACCACCACTCAACCACCAGTCAACCACCGCTCTACCACCGGTCCACGGCAACAGTGGGGGTCACCGGGGTTGGCCATTGGTCATGGGCGGTCAAAGTGTAAAGCTCACCAAGTGTCAATGCAAAGCTCACCAACTGTCAATGGAAAGCTCACCAAGGAACAATGCAGAGCTCACCACTTTTTTTTTAAAAAAAAAGCTAATAAAATTGCACCACCGGACAACCATCAGTCCACGGCGGTAGTCTGCAGCGGTTGGAAGTCAGCACCACCACCCTTTGTTTTTTTTCGAAATCATTTTAAACTTTAAAGTGTGGTGAGTTTTGTGCACATATTCGGTGAGCTTTGCTATGAGAGTCAGTGAGCTTTGTTGCTGGGCTTTGTAAGCATTTAACCATCAAATTTTGAAAAAAAAAGTTAAGTGTTGGAAAATCATGGTGAGCTTTGCAGTGGACAGTGGTGAGTTTTGCAGTGGTCACTGGTGAGCTTTGCTTGGTTTAGATGGTGTTTGGGGTTTGGAGGTTTGGCCGTGGGAAGTAGGGGTGAGTTTTGAGGGGGTATATGTGGGGCGTGAGTAAGGGGGAGGGTTTCTTGAGAGAATGGTTTTGGATTTCTTCATTTGAGCCTCAACTTTGAGAGCCAACTTAGTAAGCTCTTCAAATGTAGTGTAGCCTTGCAGTTCCACCGTATTGGCTATTTGGAGATTTAGGCCAAAAAGGTACCTTACAAAGGTTTGCTCTTTGTTCTCTTGCAAGTCACACCTGAGTAGGAGTTCCTCAAACTCCCGGGTGTAGTCTTCCACGGATTTTGTACCTTGCCTAAGCGTTTGAAGCTTAGCAAAGTTCTCTCGGGAATATTCAGTGGGTAGGAACTTCTTCTTCAAAAGACTCCTCATCTTTTGCCATGAGTCAACAAGAGGCTTCTCACTTCGAATCCGTTTGGTGCAGGTGTTCGTCCACCAAGTGGAGGCGTACTTGCGGAATTTTAAGGCCACAATCTTGACCTTCTTGTCGTCGGAGACTTCTTTGAAATCAAAGACTCGTTCCACCGTCTCTAACCACTCAAGAAATTCATCCGGGTCATTCTTTCCTTCAAAGATTGGAATATCAACTTTGAAGTCAGAATATGACTTTTCATGAGCCCTAGCTCTCATGGTGGAACTAGAGCTAGATTCCTCTTCATCTTCACTATCTCGTAGCATGGACATCTTTTGCTTTGTGAGCTTAGCCACTTCTTTGGCTAGGTATTCCACTTGAGCTTGCAAGGCAGCGTTTGAGGCCACAAGTTCTTCATGAGACATGCTTCGGGATCGGTTTGACATATTTGAAAGAGGCACGAAAAAGGATTATGGGGGGATGGGGTTGATGGCCGAAAGTAAGAGGAGAAGAATGAGGGAAGTGTGTTTTGGTCCTTCACAGATGTGTGACAATAGGCTTTGATACCAAATGATGTACCCAAGCTTAGGAAAAGCTATGGATAAATAAGGGCAGGTTATAGAGAGGAATATATGGTGAAGAATACGTTGGATTTGTGCATGAAATGGTGAAGAAAATATGGTTGTTTGGAAGAGGTGATAGGGCATAATAAAGGGCAGGAGAAAAACAATATTTTGGAGTGGTTTTTGGTGGAGAAATGAAGTGTTTAAATGGGAGAAAGGAGATGGACGAAATTAGGAAAGAAAAGGGAGTTCTTTTGTGGTTTTTATTGTAGAAGGAAAAACCAAATAATAAATAAGAGATAAACACACTCTTATTTTATTCGGGGCTGTTTCTTTTCACACAATAATATTCACTATTATTATATGAAATAGACTCCTAACACACACTCAAAAGTAGCCAACTTCAGAGATATTTAATTAGGAAATTGAGAGAATTAGCTTCACACCAACTCAAATATTACTTCAAAGAGTAAGGAAATGAAGTACAATGAATGAATTTTACAAGGCCATAGGGCCGAAATATATAGGGAAAAACAGCAAGGAAACTTCACTACTCTTTCCTACAATTCAAGTGCATAATGCCCATTTGATGGATCCCATAGGTTGTCCTCATTGATTAAGGCTAAAAGGGTTCATGGTGGTGAAAATGGGCTGTCTTTGGGTGGGAAATTCGGCCATGTGAAGGATAGGGTGAGGGAGTGTGTCCTTTTGTCCATTTATGCAAAGTAAGGTATGTGACACATCAAGGGATTGATTGTTTATTCCTTTGGCCTTATTATAGGTGTGAGAAATGATTTGGGGGGATGTTTGGGGGGAGGAATTCGGCCATGGGACAAAGGGATGTGTGGGGGATGGTTTTGAATGATTTTCACACCAAGAAAAAAGACATGTTTAATCCTTGTCTCCTGATTTGGTCTTTTGTGTTTTGTAATGGATTGGGATGGATGGGGATGGATTCTAAGGCCAAAAGGGGATGTATTTTCGTGGTTTTGAAGTAGGAAAAGGTGGGGGAAGGTTTTATTCAAAGTAGGGAATATTAGGAAAGAAAACAGCACACACAAAGCAATTTTGTTTGTCCTTGTCTCTTGGATTTTCGGCCATGGCTTCAAAGGGAGGTGAAGGACTTTATTTTGGTTAATAAAGGCAAATGAAATACATTTGGATATATGGGAGTGTGTTGGGCTTGTAGGCATTTCGGCCTAGGTTGGGTTTTGGGAGAGAAGTGTCATGGTTCGGGCTTTAATGTGGGACGGGTCAATGAGTTCAACCCAAAATGGATCATAACACCTAGACATTAAACACTTGACTTGTTGCACTACTAGTGGCGTGTGTGAAGGTGCATCCCTGGGTATATCATAGCTTCTTCTTCATCATCACCGGATTGCAACATAGCTAGCTTTTGTTTAGTGAGCTTGGCTATTTGCTTGGCTAGATAATCAACTTGAGCTTGCAGGGCTGCATTTGAAGCCACAAGTTCTTCATGGGTCATGTTTTGAGTGGTATTTGACATGGTGTTTGGTTGGGCTGATTTGTGGACTTTGTGTGATTTATCAAGGAAGGGTTAGGAAGGTGAGGGAAGTGTGTTTGGTCCTTTAGAGATGTTAACAACAAGCTCTGATACCAAATGTTGTACCCAAACTTAGGGATAAATAAACAAGAATTGATTTACTCAGGTTCGGAAGTGCACGATAATCGATTAGCACATTTAGTAAATCGATTAATCGAATTTGGTTCAAAATTGGGAATGTTCTGAGGAATCAGATAGTCGATTGACACTTCAAAGGTAATCGATTAATAAGAATTTACTCGGAACTAAGAGCTTTCTGAGGGTAAGGATAATCGACTATCAATGTTCAGACAATCGATTGTATGAGGTTGTGGATTTTGAAGAAGAATCTGAGGGCTAAAATAGTCGATTATCAAATAAGGACAATCGATTATTCTTAGGTTCAGGATTAGAAGAAAAGAAGGGAAATGTTTTGTGGTTTTATATAAGGATAAACAAAATAATATATAAGAGGTAAACACACTCTTTTATATATATATGTGGGGCTGTTATCTATTTTATACAATAATAATCACTATTAGAGTATGAAATAGACTCCTAACACACACTTAAAAGTGGCCAACTTCAGAGATATTTCATTAGGAAATGGATTGAACTAGCTTCACACCAATTCAGGGAATACTTCAAGAGTAATATTAATAATGAGAATGAGGTGCATTTACAAGGCCTCATGGCTGAAATATATAATGCAAAACAAGGGAAATTACACTTTACTTTCCTACAAATCATTTTGATTAATATCCTTGTATTATTAATCTTAGTGGGCAGCACTCATTGTCCAGGAAAAGGAGGTTAAAAGGCTGGGATTTTTGGCTTAATATGGATCATTAATTCCTGCCATGTGAGAAGGGAATCAAGGAAAGTTGTAGTTTTGACAATTAAGGATAATATGACAAAGCTTGCACTAATTAATCAATGGTTTTGGTTCCTTGATGTTTTTATCCCTATCCTTGGTAAATGGGGTTGTTTATGGATATTTGGAGTGGGAAATTCGGCCATATGCTGAAGGGAATGAAGGGGATTGGTTTTTGAACAACAAGACAAAATCAGCACTATTCAATCAAGGAAAACTTTTTCCTGATTTTGTTTTTGTTTTGTGAATTGAATTTTGTCTTGATCAAATCATAATGTGGCCTGATTTTTGGGTAAAAGACTTGGGAAATTCGTGGGTTTGATGTAGGGAAGTGAAAGGAAGGTTTTATTTTAATTAAAGGGAACAAAAGAAGTAGAAACATTACACAAGGTTTGTCCTTTTGACCTCATTTTTGTTCAGGGCTAAAAAGGAGAGAAAAGACTTTATTTTGTTCATTAAATGGAAATAAAAGACTTTCGATATTTTGGGAAGGATATGGAACGGTTTGATATCAAGAAAGGCTTTGGAGGTGAAAGGTTTTGGTTTGGGTTTTAGGGTACGAAAGGTTAATGAGTTCAGGCCAAAAAGGATCATAACACTTAGATATTAACCCTTTGATTTGTTTTATGGTTTGTGGTGTAACCTCCGTGCTTGTAGGAGCATCCCGGGGTACATCAAATGTACTCGGTGCATTGGTTAGTCCAAACGGCATGAATAGCCATTCGTATAACCCAAACTTCGTTTTAAATGCTGTCTTCCATTCATCACCTTCATAGATATGAATCTGGTGGTATCCACTTCGAAGATCAATCTTTGAGAAGATTTTGGATCCATAGAGCTCGTCCAACATATCTTCAAGCCTAGGTATTGGGTACCTATACTTGATGGTGATTTTATTTATCGAACGACTATCACAACACATCCTCCAAGTACCGTTCTTTTTAGGTACCAAGAGGGCCGGAACAGCGCATGGGCTTAAGCTCTCTCTAATGAATCCCTTGGCAAGCAATTCATCCACTTGTCGTTGTATCTCCCTGGTTTCCTCGGGATTCATACGGTAGGCGGGTTTGTTAGGGAGGGCAGCCCCTGGTATTAGGTCGATCTTGTGTTGTATGTCCCATTTTGGAGGAAGACCTTGAGGAATGTCATCTGGAAAGACTTGGGAATATTGTTGGATGAGGTGTTTGGCTAAGGGGTGGATAGAAAGAGGGGCAGGGACTGGTTTGGCCTCAAAGGTGTCACGGAGAATGAACTCTTTGTGGTGTTCGTATTCGTGTTCTTCGGAGTGGAGTATGTTAGAGAGGAGGATGGGGGGATTTTCTTTGGTGGGTGGGGTGGCCGAGTGAGTGGCAGGGGGTAGGGAAGTGAGGGTGATCTTCTTTTTATTCATGAGGAATGAATAAGTGTTGGCGAACCCGTCATGAAAAACTTTGCGATCAGAGAGCCAAGGTCTGCCCAAGAGAATATGGCAAGCATCCATGGGTATAATGTCACACCATATCTCATCGGTGTAGCTTTTCCCGATGCTTAAATGTTATACCCGAATCGGGGGTCTAAACGAGTTGCTATTTTGAGGAGGAATCAAGGGATGATGCAACTTTGAAATCAGGGTTCTGGAGCAGGAGATAGTCGATTTACACAAAGTTACAATCGATTACTGAAAGCTGCAGAAATTCTAGGGAAGCTGATAGTCGATTATCTTAAAGGGATAATCGATTATTGATCCCTGCAGGTGTTTCCAATGGGATTGATAATTGATTGTGGGGAATGATAATCGATTATTTGGCAGAATTCTGGGCAGAAAGAAGGGTTTTTTGTGGGGGAATGGACTTGAAATATATGGGGTTGATGAGGGAGTTCTTTTGGGTATTTTAATTGGAATAAAAGAGTGAGATTAAGAGGAGAAATAGGGAGGTATGAAATGGAAGAAAATCAGGGATGGATAAACCAAGTTGGTGTTTAAGAGATATTACACACTCTTATCCTAACTTGGGGTTTGAATCTAGAATTTAATTAAGATATGACATACTTAATTAAATATCTAGAACCTAAAACTCACACTTAAGATAACTACTCTTAAGATATAGAATTAGGAATTAGTCTAAAGTAACATCACACTATTTTAATAATACTCAAAGAGTAAAAGATTTTCAATATTCAGAGATTGTGTTTACAATGGCCATAGGGCCTGATTATATAGGGAGAGGGGAAGGGGGAAATACATAGTACAAAACATGAGGAAACATCCTGGAAGCAACTATTTCAAAAACATGGGATAATACCGATTGAATCATGTCTCCAAAGTGGAATAAAAATCAGAGATGGGGCTGGGAATGTGGGGTTTTGAGGTTTGCTTTGTAGTGTTTGTTTCCTGGTTTTTTTAAGGCTATTATTTGGGTAAAATGAGGGGTTGTGTTTGCTGAGAAAAGGGGGCAGGGATGGGGGCTATAATGGGTGGTTTTGGACTTCTAGGTTTGGGTTATTTGTGAGGGAATATGGGCAGGAATGAGTGGCTAGTGGTGGGTCCGGGTTTTGGCTCTTTGTGGGTGTTTATGTTGGGATTGTGAAGTGTATTTTGGCCAGGGGTGAATGGAATAGAGGGTGGGTTTAATTTGTTGAACAAAAGGCTTAAAAGTAGAAAAATAACAACAAACAAAAGGTTTTATTTCACACAACCTTATTTTTGGCCAGGGGCTTAAATAAGAGTAGGAAAAAAAACTTTATTTTGAAATGAAGTAAATGGCAAGGAGTTTTGGATATTTTTGGTTGGGTTGGAAGGAGTGGGGGTTGGCCTGTGGAACCCTCAGGTCCGAAGCTATCCTGGCCTCTTGGGTTGAAGGACTCGGAATTCTCACTAAAACGGATCATAATGCTTGAACTTAAGTCCTCTGATTTTTGCTAGGGTGTAGGACATGGGGGAGGGTATGATAGGGCCAGGCTCAGGTATAACATCCTCCCAGTCTTCAAAAGAGTTTGTCCTCAAACTCGGAAGATCTTCAAAATCCTCGTACGGGCTAAGATCTCTTCGATGAAACGTGGCAGCAACTTCTTGGCCTCGTGTAAGATTGACCAGGTAGGAATTTTTGTGAACCTTTGCCAACACTTCAAACGGACCATCGTCTTGGGGTTGTAGCTTTGACTTGCGCTTATTGAATAAACGCGCCTTATGAACGTGAACCCATACTAGGTCGTCGGGCTGAATGGACCATTTTGAGTTATGACCCTTCTCAACCTTCTTTTCATACGAGGCCTGCAAAAACTCAACACGTTTGGTACGAAGTACGGTTAACAAAGATAGGTCTCGAGCGGAGGTTTCCGCGTCAGGAGTAACGACTCCTTCGTGGGTCTTCTTTTCTTGCTCTTCTTCTTTTATCTTTATAACCCAAAATGGGTTATCCTCTGCGTCCGCAAACACTTCTTCATCCTCTTTGACACACTCTTCATCCCAAATGGGATCATAGTCCTCGTCATCATATTTGTCCCAAACATTTTTTGGGGAAGTGGGCTGCATTGTTTCAGTAGTTTGAGAGGAGGGCTGTTCGGGCTTAGAAAATTAGGGAGCAAAAGTGGGGTTTTGAACCATGAAGAAAGATGACTCTTCAAGGGTACTCTTGGGGGCCTTTTGTTGGTTTTAAGATATGACGTTGGGAACGGATTGGGGTGAGGGCGTTGGACCAGAGTTGGGGGTGTGATGGGCAGTGGTCAGGAGGGGTAAAGGCATGGTTTTAGATGGTTTTTCAAGTGGGGGTGTAGGGGTAGGCGTGAGGATGGTTAGGGCAGTTTGTGGAGGAATATAATTATAGGCATGGGTGTAGGCAAGTTTGGAGGCAGGGGTATGAAGAGGGTTTTGGGGCTTGTTTGGACAGTGGCCAGGGATGAAATATAAATGGGTTTTGAGGTATTTTGGGGCAGGGTTGTGGTAAGGGGTGTTGGGTTAGTTTGGGCAATGGCTAAGGAAGGTAAAGAGGTTGTTTGAGTAGGAATTTTGGGTAGGTGTGAGGGAGTTGGGTGAGAGATGTTTTGGACAGCATGGATGCAAGGTAAAGAGGGAACTTTAGAGGGAGTTTGAGTGTTGAAGATGGTGGTGGTTTCGGGAATGATTTGGGTAGCGTGGGAATTCTGTTGATGATCTTTGGAAGAAAATCTCTTAATTAAGAGTTTTCTTAACTTTTTCCAAGTCCTCACCTTCGCTTTTCCTTGGAGCTTTCGTTTTGAAGCAACGCTAGCCCACCAAGTAGAGGCATGTATTTGAAACTTTGCCGCCACTAGCTTGACCTTCTTGTCTTCAGGCACATCTTTGAGTGTAAAGACGTCTTCAACTTTTGCTAGCCACTTTGAGAACTTCTCCGGGTCGTTTCTTCCCTCAAACATGGGAATCTCCACTGAATTAGTGATCTCCTTGATTTGTTTCATCACAAGCTCAACTTCCTTCTTTAGTGTCTCCTGGGCAGCAGCTAATTCCCCTTGAAACATGTTTTGAGAAGAGCTTGGCATGGGGGATATATTCCTTGAAGAGTGTATGGTTGACAAAAGAGATGAGGGAGGCGTGTCAAGATGATCCCTTAGGGATGTTCAACACAAAGCTCTGATACCAAATGTTATACCCGAATCGGTGGTCTAAACGAGTTGCTATTTTGAGGAGGAATCAGGGGATGATGCAACTTTGAGTTCAGGGTTCTGGAGCAGGAGATAATCGATTTACAGAAAGTGACAATTGATTACTGAAGGCTGCAGAAATTCTGGGGAAGCTGATAGTCGATTATCTTAAAGGGATAATCGATTATTGATCCCTGCAGGTGTTTCCAATGGGATTGATTATCGATTGTGGGGAATCATAATCGATTATTTGGCAGAATTCTGGGCAGGAAGAAGGGTGTTTTTGTGGGGGAATGGACTGGAAATATATGGGGTTGATGAGGGAGTTCTTTTGGGTATTTTAATTGGAAGAAAAGAGTGAGATTAAGAGGAGAAATGGGGAGGTATGAAATGGAAGAAAATCAGGGATGGATAAATCAAGTTGGTGTTTAAGAGATATTACACACTCTTATCCTAACTTGGGGTTTGAATCTAGAATTTAATTAAGATATGACACACTTAATTAAATATCTAGAACCTAAAACTCACACATAAGATAACCACTCTTAAGATATAGAATTAGGAATTCGGCTAAAATAACATCACACTATTTTAATAATACGCAAAGAGTAAAAGATTTTCAATATTCGGAGATTGTGTTTACAATGGCCATAGGGCCTGATTATATAGGGAGAGGGGAAGGGGGAAATACATAGTACAAAACATGAGGAAATTTCTTGGAAGCAACTATTTCAAAAACATGGGATAATACCCATTGAATCATGTCTCCAAAGTGGAATAAAAATCAGAGATGGGGCTGGGGTTGTGGGGTTTTGAGGTTTGGTTTGTAGTGATTGTTTCCTGGTTTTTTTAAGGCTATTATTTGGGTAAAATGAGGGGTTGTGTTTGCTGAGAAAAGGGGGCAGTGATGGGGGCTATAATGGGTGGTTTTGGACTTATAGGTTTGGGTTATTTGTGAGGGAATATGGGCAGGAATGAGTGGCTAGTGGTGGGTCCGGGTTTTGGCTCTTTGTGGGTGTTTATGTTGGGATTGTGAAGAGTATTTTGGCCAGGGGTGAATGGAATAGAGGGTGGGTTTTATTTGTTGAACAAAAGGCTTAAAAGAAGAAAAATAACAACAAACAAAAGGTTTTATTTCACACAACCTTATTTTTGGCCAGGGGCTTAAATAAGAGTAGGAAAAAAAACTTTATTTTGAAATGAAGTAAATGGCAAGGAGTTTTGGATATTTTGGGTTGGGTTGGACGGAGTGGGGGTTGGCCTGTGGAACCCTCAGGTCCGAAGCTATCCTGGCCTCTTGGGTTGAAGGACTCGGAATTCTCACTAAAACGGATCATAATGCTTGAACTTAAGTCCTCTGGTTTTTGCTAGGGTGTAGAACATGGGGGAGGGTATGATAGGGCCAGGCCCGAGTATAACATTAATGAGACCAAGCTTCGTGAATCCACTCACAATCCTTTTCCATGATTCAACCACTGGATTGTATATGGCTTAGGATGGGGTGAAGTTTTGAGCTTTAGTTTTTCAACCAACGTTTTGGAAGCGACGTTGGTACAACTTCCGCTATCTACGATCAACATGCACACCTTCTTTTGGATGGTACAACGGGTGTGGAAGATATTTTCCCGCTGTATTTGTTCGTCCGGGGCTGCCATACTGCTCAAAGCTCTTCGGATGACTAAGAGCTCTCCTTCATCCGCACCAATGTACTCATCTTCTCCTAGCTCTTCTTCGGCTCATGAAGGACTGATTTCTTCTTCTTCATACTCTTGATGGCCATTATTTTTTGTTGGGACACTCATTGGCATAGTGTACTATCCCTTGACATCGGAAGCATTTTGGTGTTCGGGTATTGGTGGGGTTGTTTTTTTGAGGTTGCGGGTTGGATGATGAAGGGGTGGAGGTTGGTTTTGAAGAGGAGTTTTGAAGAGTGGAGGGTGTTTTGGACATGGAGGGGGGCTGTTTGGTGTAGGGAGGTGGTTGTACGAAAGAGCTTCGGCTTCTCTTTATTTACGCTTCAACTTTAAGCGCAAGCTTAGTTATTTCTTCGAGGGTTTGGTATGGTTGGAGCTCCACAATGTTTGCAATGTTGGTATTTAGCCCGAAAAGATATCGGACTAGGGTTTGAGAATCATCTTCTTGAAGGTCACATCTCATCAAAAGTTCTTCAAACTCCCGCGTATAGTCTTCCACAGAGCAGCTCCCTTGCCTTAGGCTTTGAAGCCTAGCAAAATTTTCACGAACATACTGGTCCGGGAGAAACTTCTTCTTCATTAGGCTCCTCATCTTGAGCCAAGTCTTTACGGGTGCCTTTCCTTCGCGTCTTCTCTTGGAGGTCAAGTTTGACCACCAAGTTGAAGCATACTTTCGTAGCTTCAAAGCAACTAATTTCACCTTCTTTTCTTTGGGGACATCCTTGAAGTCGAAGACACGTTCCACGGTTTCTAGCAATTCTAGAAACTCATCGGGATCATTCTTCCATTCAAAGGTCGGGATGTCAACCTTGAAGTCATTAGTTCCTTTGTCACAAGAGCTTCCATTAGTGATGTTGCTAGAGTTTCCAGTAGCTTGGACTTCCTCATCTAGTTCTTCATCACTTTCTTTGGGTGTGTCCAGCATTGTCATCTTCATCTTCGTAAGTTGAGCTACTTGCTTGGCTAGGTACTCAACTTGAGCCTTAAGGGCTGCATTAGAGGCTTGGAGCTCTTCATTGGACATGGTTTGAGATTGGTTTGACATGGTGACAAGATGATGTACCCCGGGATGCTCCTACAAGCACGGAGGTTACACCACAAACCATAAAACAAATCAAAGGGTTAATATCTAAGTGTTATGATCCTTTTTGGGCTGAACTCATTAACCTTTCGTACCCTAAAACCCAAACGATAACCCTGCTCCTCCAAAACTCTTCTTGATATCAAGCCTTTCCATATCCTTCCCAAATATCCAAAGTCTTTTATTTCCATTTAATAAACAAAATAAAGTCCTTTCTCTCCTTTTTAGCCCTGAACGAGAATGAGGTCAGAAGGACAAGCCTTGTGTATTATTTCTACTTCTGTTGTTCCTTTTTAATTAAAATAAAACCTCCCTTTCACTTCCCTACTTAAAACCCACGAATTTCCCAACTCTTTTACCCAAAATTCAGGCCACATTATGTTCCACAAAACAAAAACAAAATCAGGAAAAGTTTTCCTTGATTGAATAGTGCTGATTTTGTCCTGTTGTTCAAAATTCAATCCCCTTCATATTCTTCAGCATATGGCCAAATTTCCCACTCCAAATATCCATAAACACAACTCCATTTACCAATGATAAAGATAAAAACATCAAGGAACCAAAATCATTGATTGAATAGTGCAAACTTTGTCACATTATCCTTAATTGTCAAAGTTACAATTTTCCTTGATTCCCTTCTCACATGGCAGGAATTAATGAACCATGCCAAAATCCCAGCCTTTTAATCTCCTTTTCCTGGTCAATGAGTGCTGCCCACTAAGAATAATAACACATGGATATTAATCACATGATTTGTAGGAAAGTGAAGTGTAATTTCCCTTATTTTGCATTATATATTTCGGCCATGAGGCCCTGTAAAGATCATCTCATTCTCTATATTAATATTACTCTTGAAGTATCCCTGAATTGGTGTGAAGCTAGTTCAATCCATTTCCTAATGAAATATATCTAAAGTTGGCCACTTTTGAGTGTGTGTTAGGAGTCTATTTAATACTTTAATAGTGATTATTATTGTATAAAATAGATAACAGCCCCAAATATATATTAAGAGTGTGTTTATCTCTTACATATTGTTTGGTTTATCCCTATTCAAAAATCCCAAAACATTTTCTCTGTTTTTCTTCCGATCCTAATTCTGAACTACAAAATAATCGATTATCCTTAGCTGATAATCGACTATTGGAGTCTGCAGATTCTTCTCTAAAGTACAAAACTTCTCATAATCGATTGTCAATAATTGAATAATCGATTATCTTCATCCTCAGAAAGTATCCAGTTCAGAGTAAATCATTGTAAATCGATTATCTTTTAGAGATAATCGACTATCTGGTTCCTCAGAACATTCCCCGTTCTGTATCAATCCCTATTAATCGATTTACTGAGCTTGGTAATCGATTATCTCCCATCTCCAAATCCTGAGTGAATCATTTCCTTTGTTTGAGTACAACATTTGGTATCAGAGCTTGTTGTTAACATCTCTAAAGGACCAAACACACTTCCCTCACCTTCCTAATCCTTCCTTGATACTTTATCCCAAATACATCACACAAAGTCCACAAATCAGCCCAACCAAACACCATGTCAAATACCACTCAAAACATGACCCATGAAGAACTTGTAGCTTCAAATGCAGCCCTTCAAGCTCAAGTTGATTATTTAGCCAAGCAAATAGCCAAGCTCACTAAACAAAAGCTAGCTAGGTTGCAATCCAGTGATGATGAAGAAGATGCTAGTTCTGGTGCCACCATAAGAACTAAAGCTCAAGATAAGTCCGGTTCTGATTTCAAAGTGGATATTCCCATCTTTGAAGGAAAGAATGACCCGGATGAGTTCCTTGAATGGCTGGAAACAGTGGAAAGATTGTTCGATTTCAAAGAAGTATCCGATGAGAAAAAGGTTAAGCTTGTAGCCTTGAAGTTTCGGAAATATGCATCTACTAAATTTGTAGGAGAATGAAGAACAAACCTTCGTAAGGTATCTTTTTGGCTTAAATACTCAAATAGCCAACACGGTTGAGTTACAAGGTTTCAACACTTTTGAAGAGCTCACTAAATTAGCTCTTAAAGTGGAATTCCAAATCATGAAGTCCAAAGCCATTTTCTCCCGAACCACCTCCTCTTACTCAAAGCCAACTTACACTCCACCAAAATCCACCTCTACTACCCAGGGTCTACCCCAAAATTCCAAAACCATACCTCCTCCAAAATCACCTTCCACTTCCTTTACACCTAAAATAACCCCTCCAACCAACAAA